GGCCTGGACCTCAGGGAAGAGGAAGAGATCTGAGGAGGGTGGGCTGAGGCCTGGGCTCCTGGGTTCCAGGGTCCAGGCCTAAGGCCTGGATTCTGGGTCTGAGGGAAAAGGATTGTAGCCTGGACTCCGCTTGTCTTCCAATCCTGTTTTCACTGCCAGGCCCATCGCTGGCCTCTGTGCTGAATGACCTCCCAAGCGCCGCTACTCTTCGATACCGTGGCCCTGGTGTGCTCCCTTTGGGGACACATGAGGATGAGGATGAGGAAGGAGGAAGGAGTCTTCACGCCTTTGTGGAAACTGCCCAAATGGAATCTCACTCTCCCCGGGAACTTCCCTGGCCTATGCAGGCAAGGCGGGAGCACAGGTGAGCCCCTCTTCTCTGACACCTCCTTCTAGCAAGCAGCTCTTCCTGGTTTCAATAGTTATTTTCTTTATTGCCTTGCCACTAACCAGGGTAAGGTTTGCCTGGGCTTGTTCTGAACTTGGTGTTAGAGAATCAGGAAGACTTGTTGTTTTTCAAGACAAGGTTTCTCTGTGTAGCCTTGGCTATCCCAGAACTTGCTCTATAGACCAGGTTGGTCTCACAGAGATCAGCCTACCTCTGTCTCCTCAGTGCTGGGATTAAAGGCCAGAGCCACCACCACAGGCTGAGAATCAGCAGTGCTTAACCATTCATCTGTGTTTTTTAAAAAATTTATTTATTTAAGAAAATCAATCCCAGTGCCCTCTCCCTCCCATCCTCCCTTGCCCCCTCCGCCCCCGCCCATCCCACCCCAATCATCTCAAGAGAGAGAGTGAGGCCTTCCATGAGGGATCATTAAAGTTTGTCACATCATTTGGGGGAGGGCCTAGGCCCTCCTCCGTGTATCTGGCCTGAGAGAGTATCCCTCCATAGGGAATGGGTTCCCAAAGTCCATTTGTGCACAAGGGATAAATACTGGTTCCACTGTCAGAGGCCCTTGGACTGCCCAGGCCTCCTAACTGACACCCACGTTCAGGGGGCCTGGTTCGATCCAATGCTGGTTCCCCAGCTTTACTACTAGGGTCCGTGGGTCTTTGTTGTTGCTGTTTTGTTTTGTTTGGTTTTTTGAAACAGGGTTTCTCTGTGTAGCTTTGGAGCCTGCCCTGGAACTCACCCTGGAGACCACGCTGGCCTCGAACTCACAGAGATCCGCCTGCCTCTGCCTCCTGAGTGCTGGGATCAAAGGCGTGGGCCGCCACCGGCCAGTCTTGTCCTTTCTGTTTTTACATTTTGGTGTGTGCGAGCCCCTTATAGCATATGTTTGGCTTTCTGTGGAGTTCAAAGGACAGCTGGCAGCAGTCAACGCTTTCCCGCTACCATGTGGGTCTCAGGGGTCACACACAAGTTTTGAGTTGCTCACAATTGTCCTTACTTGCTGAGCCATCGCAGCAGCTGTTTGGTTTGTTATTTGTTGAGACAGGGTCTCACTCTGGAACCCAGACTGGCCTGAAATCACTTCTTATCCCAAGCTGACCTCGAATTTGCGTTAGTCCTTCTAACCTGTTCTCCCAGTTGAGGGGACTACAGGCATGAATGGCGCACCAACACCCGACTCCTTCATTTTCTTTCAAAGGCATGTCACCAGTCTGGCCAGCCTGTCCTGGGACTCGATCCCCCTGCCTCAGCCTGACTGCTGGTGGGATTATGAGTGTACGCCACCATACGTGGCTCTGTCGCTATTTTGTGCCCGGCTTCCTATACATAAAGTAGATTTGTTCTCTTTTTAATTGCTAGAGAGTATTCCACTTTATGGATACAGCGAGCCACAGTCGACACCCTCACTGTGTCGAGTTGTTTGTGTCTTTGGGTGGTTCCCAGTTTGTAGTTTCCAAGCCCCTCGTTTTCTGACTCTCCTTTCTTTCCAGGAAGAGCCAGGCTAGGGAGCAGGTGGCCTCTGGCTCTGAATCTTCTAAGGTTGCCCACTGGACCCGACAGCTTTCCAGGACCAAGGGGAAAATGAAAGAAGGCTTTCAAACGATACAGCCCTGGGCATGGACGCTGAAGAAGATTGGGGGTGTGGTCCGCTGCAAGGATGAGGGCTGGGGCCTGGACTCCTGGGGGTCTGAGGAAGGAAGGCTGGAGTCTGATGGGTCAGACTGACAGAGGATGGGGTGGAGACTACCCCTGGGCCTTAGGGAAGAGGGCTGTGGCCTGCACCCGTGGGTCTGAGGGAGGAGGGCCGGTACCTGGACTCCAGGGTCTGAGGGAGGAGGGCCGGGGCCTGGACTCCTGGGTCTGAGGGAGGAGAGCTGGGTCTGAGGGAGGAGGCCTGGGTCTGAGGGAGGAGGGCTGGGTCTGAGGGAGGAGAGCTGGGTCTGAGGGGGGCGGGCCGGGG